GATCATCCATACACCTCAATGCTGTACTCTCAGGCTGTACTCTCAGTGCCAGGAACCAAAGAGAACCCTCTGGAACAAGATGGCTGCACCAACGAGGGACATGTTCAGGTAAGTAAATTTCACTTTTATCTGACCCCTCTCCACCGGCCACCAGACTCCCAGCGGCGATGTCACTGTCGGGGAGCGGGGGGGTCTTAGTGAATTTGGCAAAGTACCCAGATGGTGACGGAGACGCTTTATATGATCCAAGGGTCCCTCGGGTAGTTAGAAACCCCTCAGTAACTCTTGAAAATAAAGGGAGCGAGTGCAATAATCTGCAACTCTTACAATAACTAAGAACAAATATATAGCAACAACAAAAGAAAAACAACAACAACAAAAAAGTTAAGAACAGAGAGAACATATAATATTCAGTTTGAAAAGTTAGATAGTGTGGAGAGAGCTAGCAGATATATATTGTAATAAATCATGTGTTGTTTTACATGTAAATCTTGTCCTTACCTGTACCCAATCCAGTGTTAAATTAAATAAAAACATTTAAAAAAATCAGTTGACAATTGTAAAGGAGTAAACTACTGACATTGTTACCTCAGAGAAAGGGTACAGTAAACATACACCATACAGTAATTCAGTACTGTAATGTCCCCTGTATGTTTCTGTGGAATAAAAAAGCAAGAATTGTTATGTTTCCTTATATTGGTCAAAGTTAATTATCTGAATTAGGAAAAATAAAAGGTTTGAGCCCATAAAAGGAATTGAACCTTGGTTGTCATGGTGAAATACGTAAACACTAATCTCTAAGGGAACTTTAACAGTAACAATTTTAATGCCAGTGCTTTGTATCTACTGAAAATGTGCTCCTCAATAATAGCACTGTCTTCTGAAAATGCGTCACTTAAAGCGACACTCCAGTCTCCGTATCAACTTAATCTAAATGAAGTTGATATGGTGCCTGGAGGTTCACGAGCTCACTCTTACCTTAAGGGGTTGAACCGTTCTTGAACACAGGTCTCCGGGTCTCCAAGGAGGCATCTGTCTTATGAATCTTACTGGTTTTCCTGGCACTATAGTGCCCTGAGGGTGCCCCCACCCTCAGGGTCCCACTCCCATGGCGCTGAAGGGCTCCCTCGGCGCTGAGACTCTCCTCCCTCTTCTTCCGCCATCGGCTGAATGCGCATGCGCGGCAAGAGCCGCACGCGCATTCAGCCGGTCTCATAGGAAAGCACAGTGAGAAGCGCGGAAGCGCCTCTAGCGGCTGACAATGAGACAGCCACTAGAGGCTGGATTAACTCTAAAGTAAAGATAGCAGTTTCTATGAAACTGCTATGTTTACTGCAAAAAGGGTTAAACCTAGAGGGACCTGGCACCCAGACCACTTCATTAAGCTGAAGTGGTCTGGGCATAGGCGTGCGCACGGGGTGTGCCAGGTGTGCCTGGGCACACCCTAATCCCCGTGGCACGCCTATGGTTTGAGTCCTGCAGGAACAGCGTTCCTGCACTTTTTTTGAGCAGGAACGCTGTTCCTGCAGGCACTCAGCGCCCCCTGTCTCACCTCTTGCCCCTGTCATGGGGGGGGCAAGAGGTGATGGATCCCCCCCCCCTTTCTGCAGCTCAGCCGCGGCGAGGGAGCTCTCTGCTCTCTGCTTCCTCTCGCCGCGCGCTGATGCCGGGAGCCGGAATATGACGTCATATTCCGGCTCCCAGCTACTGTAGACAGCCCGCGCGGCGAGAGGGAGCAGAGAGCAGACAGCAGAGAGCTCCCTCACCGCGGCTGAGCTGCAGAGAGGCGCCCGCCCCACTGGACCCCAGGGAAAAGTCCACGCCAGCACTCCAGGTAGGAGGCTGGGTGGACATTTTTTTAAATGAAAATATAATAATTTGTTCTTGTGTGTGAGTGTGTGTGTGTGTGTGTGAGTGTGTCTGTGTGTGTGAGTGTGTGTGTGTGAGTGTGTGTCTGTGAATGTATGTGTGTGTTTGTCAGTGAGTGTGTGTGTGAGTGTGTGTCTGTGAGTGTATGTGTGTGTCTGTGTGAGTGTGTGTCTGTGAATGTGTGTGTCTGTGAGTGTATGTGTGTGTCTGAATGTGTCTGTGAGTGTTTGTGTGTACGCATATATATATACACACACACACACACACCCAGAGCAGGCGCTATCTGAGTGCCGGCTCTGCTCTAAGCCTCCATGGGCCGGCGGGGAGACCAAAGATCTACCTCACCGGCCCACAGCAGCATGGAGGGAGGCAGGAGAGGACCCAGGGAGCTCTAGACAGAAGCTCCGCCAGGTTCCTCTCGCGATATCTGAGTGTTGCTGCGGCAACGCTCAGATCTCGCGAGAGTTAACTCTAGCCCTGCAGGCTAGAGTTCACTCTCCACTGGACCACCAGGGATGGCACATGGCAGCAAGGATTTACTAATCTGCCAAATCCCTCCAAACATACAGCACACACACATACAGCTCACACACACACAGTACACTAACCGCACCCTCACAAACACACACAGCACCTTTAAAAAAAACACAACACCCTCACGCACAGCACACTAACAGCACCCTCACAAACACACACACACACACAAACAGCACCCTCACAAACACACACACACACACAAACAGCACCCTCACAAATACACGACACTCACACAAACAGCACCCTCACAGGACAAACATACACACAAACAGCACAGTCACAAACACACACACACACAAACACCCTCATACACACATCACACTAACAGCACACAGCACACTAACAGCACACACAGCAGTGTGTGTGTGTGTATATATATATATATATATATATATATATATATAGATACATACACACACACACACACGCGGCGTGAAGTTTAAAAATAGTGACCAACGTTTCAGTCCCCGTTTGAGACTTTCCTCAGGGTCAAAAAATAACAGGACAACCTGTTTTTGTTATTTTTTGACCCTGAGGAAAGTCCCGAATGGGGACTGAAATGTTGGTCACTATTTTTAAATTTCATTAAATAAAATTTAATTTTTAAAGACCGGTGAGCAGCCATTTCTATTTGGATACTATATATATATATATATATATATATATATATAAATACATGTGTATATATATATTCTAAATATATTTTATATTTATCTTTTTTAGGGTGTTCCTTTAAGCTGGTGTTAAAAGGCATGAGATCGAAGGGGTGGGGCCTGACTGCAGAGCCGAGCAGACGTGTGTGTCTGCGGCTCCAGCACTGCCGAGCAATCTTACCTGATTTCTGCACTGGTAAAAGCTGAGAACCGGCTCATCTTGCCACCCAGAGGACCGGGAGACCTACACGAGGGTACCACATAAGCGGGGTTACTCACCAGCCTCACCTAATCTGATCTCGCGGCCTATCAGCATGGACGGCGCGTGGGAGACGGCCGCTCCCCGACCGCTGTATCTTGCTGTACACGCCAGTGTGGATCCCCGGCGGAGGTTATCCCAGTCTCCACCGACTCAAAGCACATGGCTACTTTGCATCCTGTCGCCCATCACGACGCCAGCCCAGAGAACGCCAGGCCCAACAAAATGGCGGGCTGGCCCCGGTCCTCAGGGCCCACACCTCAGCAACTAAGCGGTAACTATGTGGACACTGCCCTACAACGCCTGGACAAGATATTTACCAGTTTTTGAGAGAAATCGCACCAGCGTCTGGCACAACCTCCACTACAGGGCAATCACGACAGGGAGTATGGGGTATTGGTGGCCTAACTGCAATGCTTAAATGTTTTCCTGATCTGTCTAGCATACAATCTGATTGTTTATTCTTGTTTTTAATATTCACCTAGTTAATCAGATGTTATGCTCACCATTTTACTAGTCTGCCTGGCATATAATACACCTGTTTATTGTTTTCATAACGCGCATAGTCAGTCGGTATAGCCTGCTCTTTATCACATGTCGTTTTGTTTCACCACTGACTATTTTTCCTTCTACTAATTATATCATAGAAAAAAGTGCAGTTTATTTGAAAGTCATGTCAATGTTTCTCTTGTCTGACTATAATATGCTTGTGATCGCTGTCGTGGTTTGGCAAGATTATTGTTACTCCATGCACGACAGAAATAAAGATTGACAAAAAAAAAAAAAAAGGCATGCGATCAATGCAAATAAAATTATGTTACACTAAATATGCTGTGTACTTCCATAAATTATGTTCCTGTGTTAGTTAACCTCATAAAACAGCATTTATGGTAAAATAAAATTGGCCATCTGTTTACCCATAAATGTACTGAATACATTTTTCTATGAATCATTTTTCCTTTGGTGGAAAAGCCTTATTTGTCCAAGATGTAGATTTAAAGTGGAATAGTCTTTTTTTCTGTAATGAACACTGATCCACACATCCTTAGTAAATGCTATTAAAGCATGTGAGAATCACAAGGAAGATTAGTATAAAACACACTTACCTGTACAGCACACAGATAACATCAGCCCATGATGGCCTGGGGAACCGTATGTGTGCTCAAGTATCTGACTATGCTGTCAGGGCATCAAATTTGGTTACATGTTATGTCTTTGGTGTGTCAGATCAGAGAGAAATGCAATCTAAATTTAAAAAAAAGATGTTTTTCGAAACGTATAAAAAATAGCACAACCTATATGCAACTTTTATTTATTTATTATATTGTGCCCAAATTCCTTTTTTATTATTATTATTCATAATGTACTGTTTCTTGTTTTATAAAATATAAGCTTGCTGAACAAAGGTTTCTACATTAGATATATGTTACACAAAGCACTACCACAACAGAACAAGAGCAGATTTATAATTCAATTGTTGTCACAATAAATATTCCTCACCGTGACAAGACAGGCTTCCTTGTAGCTGTGCAGGGACAGAAAATCCGATAAGTAAATATATGAATTCAGACAGCGTGATTATAACAAAGGTCAGTGGCTACTGTGACATCTACGTGAGTGGAAAACGACTGTATCAAAGTAGTCTTGTTTCTTTTTCAAGAACGGAGATTAAAAAATATGTTATTATATTTGTACATGGATTATAGAATCAGTGCACACACCGTGCAGATTAATTGTTAACCATTAAAGCAGAGAGGATATGTTGCCTTTGTTATAAGTGAGACTAGGTTTATATTTAAGGGACACTACAGGCACCAGAACCACTACAGCTTAATGTTCTGGTGTCTATAGCATGTTCCTGCAATTGGGGCACTGTAAATGCTGCCTAGTAACATCTCTAGTTGCAGTCATTCAGACAGCCACTAGAGGTGCTTCCTGTGCCTCACTGGCATCAATCATCTGAACGCTCCCCATAGAGATGCACTGATTCAATGCTGTCATGGGAGTCGTACAGTTCCACAGATTTAGGCTGTGCAGCCGGTCTATCTTCTCCTCTATCCTGGAGATAATTGGCTTAAGTGGGTGTGGTGACTTAATTATCTCCAGGTACAGGGAATATCTCCATTTACAACAACAGTAAAAAGACATAAAAATACATAATTCCTATTTTACTGAACAGAACCCCCACATTCAACCTATCCCCAGATAGCTTGGATCTGAGCGCTCAATATATCCGAACAGAAATCACAAGAAATAATGGGATGGATTAATAAGGATAAATGTGAAAGATACTTATATATATCTTTATGTGTATATGTTCGGATCAGAAGAATCGTTTGGAAGTTTATGGTGCATGTAACACACACAAACATTTTTCACCTATTTTCACTTATATATGTTTAGATTAATTTTATATAAATAATTTATTAAGGTTTTTTTACTATGATTATAGTGGAAGAACCTGCCTAAAGTGTGTGATAAACACAATAGATGAATAATAAACACAAGAAATAACGAGATGGGTTTATAAGGATAGATTTGAAAGGTACTTATTTATACCCTTCTGCACATATGCTAGAAGTAAAGCAAGAGTTTTTTTTTTGTTTTTTTTCCCTCTTCTTTCCTCAATAAAACAGACTAAGGGGCATCACTATGTAGTATCACCTTAATCCGGACAGACCTACTTAGTGTCTATCATTTAGACACAGGATTAGACTGACTCCCCAGTTGGTGAGTTAACAGTCTATGTGCTTAAGGAGGATGATATCCTCCTATGATTTTAGATATGTGTATTTTTGTTATATGTATGTTTGTGCAGCAATAGAGGAAAATAGGGGAGATCATAATGTCGAGATGGAGGGAAAGAGGTTTGAGAAATTCCAATGATAAGAATGTTAACTCTTAATGTCCAAGGTATGAACACAACAATAAAGAGGTCTTTAAACATCTAGCTGCTGAACACATAGATCTGGGATTTTTACAAGAAACCCATTGGAGGCAATCGGACAAACAGACTTGGGGTGGAAAAAAATTCCCACTTATCATACAAGCCTCAAATAAAGATAAAAAAAATGTGGTGTAGCCATAATATTTGGTGAAAAAATAGAGGTAGAAATAATTCAACAATTACAAGATGCAGATGGTAGATTTTTGGTAATAGTATGTAAAATTAATTCTAAGTTATTTACATTTTGTAATGTCTACCTCCCAAATTATTCACCAGCTTCTTATTTAAGATCTATTCTAGAAAAAATAGAAGAAATAAAAGTAGGAAATTTAATATTAGCTGGAGATTTCAATGCGGTTATTGATCCACAACTAGATAAGAAAATAATGAAAGGTGTCAAAATAAATAAAATGGTAGTTAAACAAGCTAAATCCTTAAAAAACATCAAAGATTAATTCAACCTGTTTGATATCTGGAGAATTCATAATCCAAATTTAAGAGATTATACACACTTCTCTAAAGTTCACTTTTCTTACTCAAGGCTGGATATGATTTGGATAGACCCCAAACTTATTGATATGGTTCAAAATGTAAATATAAAGGAAACAGTCTGGACAGATCATAATGGTGTATTATGTGTAATAGATACTGGAAAAAATATAAAAGAACCATATAGCTGGCGTCTAAATGACAGTTTGCTCTGTTCCGATGTGAATAAAAAACATATGGAAACAAATATAAGTAATTATTTTAAAGAAAACAGTACAGAAGATATTGATCCACTCACCTTGTGGTGTGCCTTTAAGGCAGTAATAAGAGGCCATTTTATTAAACTTCAAAGCCAAATTGATAAAAATACTAGCTTATCTTACCTTCATACTCAGCTAAGGAAGTTGATCCAAATTAATAAACAAAATCCAACAGTTGAAAATTCTGAGAAAATATCAGCAATAAAGGATAATATAAATCAAAAACTAATGGAAAGAACGGTTAAAAGCTTAAACAGATTAAAATTAAAATACTACTCTAAGGGCAACAGAGCTGATAAATTGCTATCACAAAAACTTAGAAAACAAAAGGGTCTAAATAAGGTGGAAAAAATAATAAATAATGGAATAACTGCAGTAACTCCCAAAGATATAGGACAACAATTTAATGACTTCTACAGCAAGCTATATAACATACCTCAAACCGCGACAGTTGAAGATATAAAAAAAATACTTTGAAAAAATAAATAAGTTTCAGTTAACAGAATTACAAAGAGAAGCAATAAACAAAGGTATAACTATGGATGAAATAACGAAGGCTATAAATAACTTGGAAGGGTTTTAAACCCCAGGTCCAGATGCATTTAGCAATTTATTTTATAAAATATTTAAAGATTTAATTTGCCCTCATATGACCAATACCTTTAATAGTGCAGCTAAAAGAGGATTTCTTCCAACAGAGATGCTAAGAGCTAACATCTTACCAATTCTAAAACAAAATAAAAATCCTACTGACATTAAGAATTATCGTCCAATATCCTTGATAGATGTTGATACCAAACTGTATGCCTCAGTCTTGGCTGCCAGAGTTAAGAAACTCTTACCATTGATTATACATCAAGATCAAATAGGATATGCTCCAGGCAGAAACTCTTACACTAGTATTAGGAAAATTATTAATATCTTGGACGATGCTAAAAGAAATAAGGTTCCAGTTTTGGCTCTGTCGATTGATGCTGAGAAAGCATTCAACAGAGTCAACTGGAGCTATTTAGATGTTGTACTGTCGCATTATGGCCTTGATGGTTGGATCAAGAAACCATCAAATGGAAATTTATGCAAATCCATTAGCACGTACTAAAGGACCAAACATCACTGCTCCATGGTTCCAACTGAAAAACGGGACATGACAGGGGTGTCCACTTTCACCATTATTGTTTTTGCTCTCTATTGAATCATTAGCTGAGAAAATCAGAAATAATAAAAATATTAATGGCTATAAAACAGTAGATGTAGAACAGAAATTAAGTTTATATGCCGACAATATTTTTATTACTATAACCAACCCTGATATTTCATTGGATTTTCTAATGTCAGAAATCGACAGCTATAGTAAAATATCCAACTATAAATTAAATATAAACAAATCTATGATTTTGGATATTAATTTGGATAAGCAAACTAAAAATAAGATTAAGGACAGATATAATTTTTCATGGGTTAAAGATAGTATGGATTATTTGGGAGTTAAACTGACTAGAGATGTAAATAGAATTATGGAGATACATTTTTTAGATTTATTACAAAATCTTAATAAATGGTTAAAAAACCGAAGGAATTTAGAAATATCTTTTTGGGGAAGAATAAACGTGGTTAATTCATATGTTATTCCAAAATGGAACTATATGTTTCAAATGCTGCCATTATATATCTCTAATCCTTGGTTGGAATTGATACAGAAAAGTTTCACTCAATATATCTGGAAAGGTAAGAAACCAAGATTGAGTCAGTCAATATTAACACAAAAATTAAGTAGAGGAGGATTAGCTTATCCTTTAATATCAAATAATTATAGAGCAGCTACAATTTTACATATATATAGGATGCAAATAGAAGAGAATAAAAATGAAGGATGGTATAAAATAGAACTTACTGCAGGAGGAGTCCCTAGTTTGGATTGTTTAATTTGGAACACTACTAAATTCCCTCAAAAAAAAAAAAAA